GGTCGCTTGCTTCCGCTGCGGCGGGTGGGCCAAGCAATGGCGCGGGTTGGCGAGCGGGCCGTGCGCCGGCTGGGTACTGACGCTGCCGCCTCGTGCGGCGGGCCTGCTGCTGCTGCCCGCGGCCCGCGCCGGCGGCGCCGATGCCGACGTACTGGCGGGCGGCGCTTCGGGCGCGGCTCGCCGCGCGCCCCCTCGCGCCCGAAGCGCCAGGCTAATTAGCTGAATTGGCGGCGCCGCCGCTGGCGCAGGTGCGGGCCGCGCGCTCGCCGCATCCCCCCCTCCTCGTCCTCCCTCCCCCTCCTCCACAACTGGGTTTTCTCCGTGGTGGTAGAAGTGTGGCTGAGCTTGGAGGCCGCTGCCTGCGCAAGGGCTGCGCTACCGTGGCGGAAATAATAATCTTCGCAGATGAGCGGCAGCTCCTCGGAGAGATGCGTTGCTCCTCGTTGCGCTCCGCCGTATGGCTGAACGTGGACGCCGTCGCCTGCGCCAGGGACGCGTGGCAGCAGCAGCAGGGGCGGACCTCGTAGGCGAACGTCAGCCCCGTGAAGATGCTCTGCACCACGTAACACTCCGCCGTGCAGCTGAGCATGGACGAAGCAACGTGTGCCAACAATGGCGCGCAGCAGTGGCGGAATGGGATGTGCCACGTCGCCCTCGTAGCGGGCTGCGCGCCCGCGCATGCGAGAGGGCGCCTCGCCCGGCGGCGCGGCGCGCAGGGGCTCAAGCCGAAGAGCCACCGTGTGCCGAAAGGGAGCAAGATTGCTGCGACTACTGCTCGGGTTTTGGGCCAACATGGCTTGAGCCAAAATCGCTGCGGCAGGAGGAGGAGGAGGAGGAGGAAGGAACGACAGTACCAGATGAGTTCGTGGGACGGCGAGGCAGCGAGCTGAAGACCAATGGCGGCCTTCGCAGCTGCAAGAATTGTGTAACCCTATGCCGCGGAGAATAATCCCACAGGGATAATAAAGTTCGGGGTCGCGGGGGGATTATAATGTTGCCCGCCGGAGGCCAGCATAAAGAGATGATCAAGAGGAGCGAAAGCCGAAGATATCTTGAGACATCCTTGGCTTTTGGTCCTCTCGGAGACATCCTCAACAATGGCTTGTCTCGCTTGAGACATCCTCGACAAATCTCTCGGTTCGCTTGAGACATCCTCCACAGCATCGAGAAAGAAAGAGAAAGAGAAACAGAGAGAGAGAGAGAGGTTGAGAGGGACAGAGAGAGAGAGGTTGAGAGAGAAAGATAAAGAGATGGAGAGAGAAAGAGAGATATAGAGGAGAGGAGTAGGAGGAGGTGGACGAAGGAAAGATCCAAAGTTCCAAACCTATAAGATTATAAGTGTAAACGCTTCGTGGAAATTCAGATGTTCATCTGCTCGTGTAGGGTAGCTCATCTGCCGACCAAACCCTTCTTGGCCGTGGATAATCAACGTTAATATGTTAAGGGGGGGGAGTACTTTATCATCATCGGCATGTGGTTAACTAGCGAAATGTAGGGGTGCTGGGTGTGCTGGAAGGGGGGAGAGGGGAGGAGGAGCAGGAGAAGGAGAAGGAGGAGGAGCAGGAAATGGAGGGGGAAGAGGGAACGAGGAAACAGAGGAGGAGGAGGAGGAGGAGGAGGAGGAGGAGGAGGAGGAGGAGGAGAGAAGAAGCAAGAGGAGCGACAGGAGTGATGGTTTTGGCTTGGGTAAGCATCGGTTGGGGCCGCGGGCACAAGCCCTTTAGCGGCACCTCGCACTCAAGGATGGCTGGGGACAACTCACCGCCTGTCGCAGGGGCCAAGTTCCGCAACGTCACGGCGCAAGCGTGCCGACTCTCCTGGGGTCTTCCCCCCACCGGGGCGCCCCCTCACCCAACCTATACCTGAAATCGGGAGGGCCAGAAAAGGCAAGTGCTACAGCTTGGATCCAGACGCGAGGCAAAGGAGCTACAGCAGGAGGAGGACGGATAACGGAGGACGGATGAGGGAGGGAGGTAGTAGACGGAGGGGGAGGAGGAAGAGGAGGAGGAGGAGGAGGAGGAGGAGGAGGAGGAGGTGGAGGTGGAGGCGGAGGAGGATAGGACCAATACCACGATGAACTCTTGAAGCCCCTGCTATCTCAACAATCCTGCAAACCGGCACTGGCCTCATGCCTGCTTGCCTGCCAACACGAGGCAGCTGCACTCTCAGAGGGGTGACGAGCAGCTCAAACCCTGGCCGAAGCCAAAACTGAAAAAAAAAAACGGAGAATCCAGATCCAATGTGCAATGGCAGACTGCTCACAGCACAGAACAGCACTGGCGGCTCGGCACCGCTTTAGGGCACGCAGCCCACCCGCGGAGCCGGATACAAAAGCGCAAGAGATCACCCCCGTCACGACCACCCCCGTCACGACCAGACTTCCCACGCCCCTTCTCTCGACTTTGGCCTCGGCTGAGAGGCGATGCGTAAGAATGGGAGGACGGACATGTGGACGCCCGAAACGGGTACGGAAAAAAATGGGTACAATGCCCAACCGCAAATGTTGTCGCAAACCATCAGCGGCCGCTGTTGGGCAGGTGGCCTCCTGTCTCAAGTGGACACAGGCCGCGGCGGCGCGTACAGCGAAATCTGCTCAAAATCAACCGGAACTGCCGTTGGGTATTGTACCCATTCTTTCCGTACCCGTTTCGTTGGTGCCGAGGACAGGCGAGGGCGCCACTCGGGGGGGTCCCGGCCCTGGACACAGGCCAGCGGGGTAGGGCCTCCTGCTGGCTAAATGTCCCTCTTCCTCCAGATGTTCTCCTCTCCTCATTCTCATATTTCTCCTCCTGCTCCTCCTCCTCCTCCTCCTTCCTCTGCCTCCTCCTCTTCTTTCTCTCACTTCCTCTCACTTTCCTCTCCTCCGTCCTCCTCCTTCTCCTCCTCCTCCTCCTCCTTCTCCTCTTTCTCCTCCTCCTGCCTCCCACCGCCACCCCCTCCACATCCTCCCCCTCCTCGTCCTCCTCCTCATCCCCCTCCTTCGCCTGATGCTCATCTCGCCTCCTCCTGCTCCTCCCCCACCTCCTCCTCCTCCTCCTCGTCGTCACCCAACCCCTACTAACTCTTTAGCGTCACCATGACCTTCCCTCTTCCTCCGTCTGCCTCCCTTCCTCTCCCTCCTCGTGCTCCTTCTCCTCCCTCCTCATCTTTCCTCCTCCTGCTCCTCCTCCTCCTCCTTCTCTTCCCTGCTCCCCCTGCCCCCAACACCTCCGCATCCACCTCTTCTTCTCCTGGGACTCGGGAAAAGAACAACAGGTCATGCCTACCGAGCACGAACAATGCCTGGAAGCCAGAAGCTCCGAGAGAGCAGCCACGCCTGCCATGAGAGGTGTGCTCATCCAGTAGTGATCCAGTCACATGTTTGCGCAGAGCTTTGAAACATACGTTCATCTAAAGACCTGGGTCTGCGCATATGAAGTGTGGTGCCAGGGACCTCGCCCTTGCAAACTTGGGCGATCTATTTATTGCTAAACTTATTCGGCTCACAGCGGGGCGCACACTTCATCCCACGGCCCATGCTGTAGCCACCACGCACACTGCACCATACAGAGACGCTGGTTCCATCAATCCTGGACCCAAAGAGGGTATATCGAAGATCCCGCACTCTACAATCCCAAGGATGGGCACAGAGTCAGGCGTGCACGCGAAGCGAATCTCGTATAAGCGTCTTACGCAGGCAATCGGAACATTTGAAATACGATAGTGCCAACACATGCATGTGGGATCCTGCAATACAGCGAACCCTGTGAGGTTTACGATGCAGAGGGCACCAAGAATCTCACATGCACCCGGCCAAACAACAACTTTGAATACATGCGCATCTCCGTCATCGTGCCGCTGGGCAAGAATTCGAGTACCCTCAGGTCTTATAGAGTCCTCAAGTCTGAGGATTCGAATGCCTGTAAGACCACCCTTCAGGTGAAAAGAGGGGTGAGGGTGACCGTTGATAAGAAACGATTCGCACTTGCAACCAACAGGACAAGCAAGGGACAACCACAGATCAACCACGGGGACACCATCGGACATCATGGGGACAGCCACGGGACAACATCGGTCAACCATCGGGGAACACATCGGACATCCAAGGGGACAACCATCAAGACAATGACAAGGATACGCATCGGGACAACTATCGGTACAATCATGGGCCAACGATTGGGACTATCATCGTGACAAGCACGCAGGGATAACCAATGGGGCATTCATCGGGACAACCATCGGGAGGACAACTATCGGGACAACATCGGGTCAACAATCTTGTCAGCTCTCAAGACAGAGACCTGGACAGCCGCGAGAGCAAGCATCGGCACAACCGTTGGAATGACCATCGGGACACTCAATCGATGGCACAACCATCAGGAGAACCATCGGAGAAACCATCGGGAAGAAAACACGGGACAACCATCGGGACAACCATCCAGACAACCATCGGGCCGCGATTAACGGGACTACCATCGGGGGAACCACCTGGACAACGTTGATGATGTGGTGTATGGCATACCGTGGATGACCCAAGACAGGAACTGTGACCATTACTTGATATTGTGATGTCGCCCAGCTACACCTACTGCTGCCACCGCTGGTGTAACTGCCACCACTCATGATGCTAGCACTGCTGCTGCAATGTTATGTGTGGTACTGCTGCTACTGCTGCTGGTAGTGCCTGCGCTGATGCAACGCACTGCTTTTATTTCTGCCGCTGTTGCGAACTTCGCTGTTCGCTGCTGCCATTGGGCGTCTCGGGTTCCCGACCCCCCTTCAGGGCGAAAGGCTCGCCAAAAACACCCCAAACCGATCGCATCCCCACCGTTCCGGCCCAGACGCAGCCCCCCTTATCGGCAAGCGGTAACGACGCATCAAGTTCGGAAAAAAACCGCGTAAACAATAATCGGCGCGCGTTTGGGTCCCTGCCCCAACCCCCTGCTCATAGACGCCGAAGTGTCAGCACCAGCCGTGGCCTGAACGGTCTCGTGGAGCGCGGGGGCGGCGCCAGCGGCAGACTACCAGGCCATCCGCGCCCTCTTCGCGCTGAAGGCCTGGCGGGGAGCTGGGAAGCGGGCCTCCAGAAACAACTTCCACCTCTCATCATCTTCCGCAGCAGCTGGTTCACTGCTACTCTGCAAGGTCCTAGCAGACAGCGGCCCAAAAGGAAGCCAAGGTTGCTGCAGCTTCTCGCGCCAGCGCGTGGCGTTGGATGTGCTCAGGACGCAGCCGCGCCCACCGACGCGTTACTGTGATTCGTTCAGAGGGCATGCTCGTGAGAAAAAAGCAGCCCCACGCCAACCATTACCAGCCTGGAACATATCCCTATCCCTATGCCGGGCACCTCCTCATTACGATGCCAACCTTAGGGATTCCCTTATTTTTTTGAGGGCGAATCCCTAAGATTGTCATCGCCTCTCGGCGTGTCAATCTTAGGGATAGGGATACGTTCGAGGCTGGTAAAACCACGCCAACCACACGCACACACGCGGCAAGAATGATTGTTCGTCTTATTCTTCTTCGCCGTCGGCCCTCCCTCGCCCGCCGGCACGCTCGCAGCGCGTGGCTTCAATAAGATCTTTGCGTGCGGCGCTGCCGTATCCAACCCGCTGGAGCCTTGCGATCGTGGCTGTGGCGTTCTGGGCGGAGCCGGCTTCGGGCCTCGTGGGAGCACCTTAGCGCCAATGCGGGGCTGGAAGATGACCACAGCCTTTGCTTCTTGTTTGCGCCGCCTTCCGGCCGGCCGAAAAAGAAGCAGTGGTTGTGGTCGTTTCCCTGGTGCCAAGCTCAACGAAAATGACCACAACCACTGCTTTGTTTCTGCTGTGGTCGTTTTCACGCCCCGTAGCCAATCATCCAGAGCCACCTTGGGGCCATATCCTGAGGCGCGCTGAGCCGTCTCGAGGTTCGGGGCCCTTGGGCCGCATGTGGCGTCCTCCCCGAGGGCCGTGTAGGCACCTCGGGCGTCCCTGCCAGCTTCCAGGCTCGCACAGGGAGGAGTTCCGACGCCAAGGGGCCAGGGGTCAACGCGAACTGGACGGAAACCAGTATATACACCATGGCACGCGCAGTTGTGGATCAGAGTGGCGGGGCGGCGGGGTCGTCGGCAGTCTTCGAGGCTCCGAGGAAGCCCGCCGCAGGCGGATAATTTCAGCCAAATCAATATGGGCGGGGGTGGCCGGTGGGTCGCGGGCGAATCGCGGACGGGTGGCGGGCGGATCGCGGGCGGGTCGCGGGTGAGGCGCTGGTGAGGACGACGACAACGATAAACAATAATCAACAGGCAAACCAACAACAAAACAACAATCACCACTCAACCAACCAACCGAAAGGCCAACCAACCAACCAACCAATCGCAACAACAACACCAAGAACAGCAATACTCATTGTAAGACTGTTCGCTCTTGACGGCCTGCGTGCCATTCATCACGTATATTCCAAACCCTCGATGCCCGCCTCTTCGTCTTCGATCGTGCCCCCATTGGAAATATATCTTCCGTACCTGCCACGTGTTATTGGCGCAGCCCCCGGAGCAGGGGAAGAACGGACGGATGGAAGAAGGAGGGAGAAGGATAGAGCACGGGATGAACAGGAGGGGGGCTAGGAGCAGAAAACACGTGGCAGAATCAGAAGGGCCGATCGGGCGTATAGACCGTAACGGGCGGGTCGGGAATGCGGGCCCAGGCGGCCAGGTCGACATGGCGGGTTGCTGGAGCGTGCGTCCTGCATGAATCGCGAGGAGAGCTCGAGCGATATCGCGATTCCTAAGTAAACCGTGAGACAGGCCAGCGCCAGAGTGTGATTCCTGAGTGTCGAGAGCGCGGCGTCTGAATAACATGCGAGGAAGTTCCGCGCGAGAGCGCGATTCCTGCATATCCCACCAGCCCTTTGGGCGTAGGTGGTCTAAAGAGCTTTCTCTTCCAACCCCCCTCTTCCCCTTCGAGTATGGGTATATTACTGCTCCCTCGAAATATACACCCCCTCCCCCAGGGGACCGGCAGCCAACCAGGAACAATGAGGACACCATGATCACCCCCCCAACACCATCCCTGTCAAGAAACAGTACAAAACACACTCTGCCTCCACACTTGGAGCATGCGCGGCCAAACCGATTACACTCTGGGGCAAAGTCTTGAGCCATGTTCGTGAGCCCGGGAGCACTGTGTATTGTTTTTGGCAGGAACGGCAGGGTGTCAGCATATTGCCTGCTGTGCGCAGGGCTACCACTCCTGACCAATAAAAAACAATACAAAATGCACCTTGCGGGTAAATCCGGACCATGCGCGGCCACCCCGCGATCACTGTCAAGTGGTCTTTGACAGGGTCGGCAGGGGTGGTGGCGTATGGCCTGCTGGGCGCAGGCCCACCAAACACAATAATGGGCATTGGTGTTCGACAAGGATGGTGGGGGCCGACATGTTTCCCGATGTGTGTTGTCACGTGCGCAGGCGCACCTGACACACTCTGCACGTGCCCCGAACGCGGCGCACCTTGCGCGGCTGGAGTATGCATGCGGCGCACCTGGCGCACGCGGAGCACGTGGCGCATCCGGCGCACCAGGCATGCCTGGCACGATCGGGCCCCAGGGGAGCTTGGCGTGCGTGGCCTGCCTGGCATGCGTGGCGCATCTCGCCCCAGCGTCGCGAACATGGGGTCGGCTCTGGTTCCCACTCGCTGCCCATCCAAAGACGACCGCTGAACATGCTCAGGCTCTGGTGTTACTTATGTGTTGGGAGGGCGGGTGGGAGTGAGCTAGACGGCCTGCTATCTAGGGGGATGTCTGGACCCCTCCCCCGTACCACCCCTGGACTTGGATGGGGCGGGTGCAAGGTGTCTGAAGAACCTTTTGGGCCGTTTTCGCCGTCGCCGCCCCTTCGCCGCAACAAGGACTGAGCCACATGGATTTCCTATTTTGACAAGAAAATTGGAAACTCCCCCGCCAGTATCGCCCCATTGGGGCTGTTGAATGTACATGTGATTGCGCCGCGTCGTTCGCCTTAACCATGAACTCGTACCGTCCCAACCAGACCGTCATCGCTCCCCCTCATCCCTGACAACTGATACTATGCGCGCATTCGCCTATCACAACCCATCCGTTTTCAACCAAAGAAGAACTTGCAACACATGGATGGGGCAATGCCGGCACACACACACACACACACACACGTCGTCGCGCGCGCATGCCGGAATAAATCAGAAACCTCGATTGTAGTCACGATTTCAAGATCGAGGGTCCCGGAAACATATGACAGCCAATGATTTCGCAACGTGGCGTTTCAACAAACATCGGCGCGTTTTTGTGATTTCTTGTGGGAGCCCTGCGTTTTTGGCATGTTTAACCAACTGCGACCCAGCGGGCCTCTCGTGCGCGCGTGTCGAAATCATTTGGGCGCCCTTGCGCGCTTGCTGGGGGGAACACGACCACTGTCAAATAACACCGTGCGGGCCTGTTGGGCCCAGCGGCCGCCCGAGCATGCCGATTTTTCATCAAAAAACCTGCATCACCGACACGTGAACACCATCATCTTAATCGGCGTGGTCAGCTTCGGCGCCGTCATATTGGCCTTGCCGTCGCCATGGCCACCAGCATCGCTACTATCATCATCGTGTCTGCCGTGGTCGGCGTCGCCATGATCCCTTGTTCACCTGGGCCACCGAGTCGCACTGAACTGCCCGCGCATCAGCGCGGCCTGCGAAATGCGCCGGGAATTCCACAGCGGTCAGCGCCACCACGGCCGCGTCGGTCGCGCCAGAATGGAAGGCCGCTCTGATCGCAAGCTTGCTTTCGCCAGCGCGACCACAGCGATGCACCAGCCAGCGTCAGGCAGTCATCGCAATTGCCGCCGCGTTGAACCTGCAAACCAACTTGCGTGTGGGTGGGTGGGGCGATTGCACGGGCAGTGGAATTAACAATTCACGAGTGGGCATTCGTTACTTCTTCTTTCTTAAGCAGTTAGGATTTACCCCCCCGGAATTCACGACATACCTTTTCGTGTTGCAATTTACATACAATTCTGTCCCATCGTCCGTCCTAAATGGGAGCGCATAGCCATCCCAGGCTGGCCGGTATCTGCCACCCTTCCATCCTTTGCACCAAATAGTATGCGCGCGCACTCGTTCACCCAAAATCATCAGTTGCCAAAGCAACTTTTGCAACATATGAATCACAAAGCGCACGCGGGCGTCGTCGCGCGCAAATGCAACAACCCTTCAAACATTTGGTTTCGTACGGCTTTCAACATCCAGCACCCCGAAAACGTTCTGAAAACAAATACATGTTTTTTGCAACACGAATGTTCAAACAAAACTTGCGCCAGAGCTCCAACGACGCCTTCAACAAGCCATAACTTCCCAACGTGTTCATGACATGCTACCACACGGGTCTCTCGTGCGCGCGTGTCCAAATCGTTCGAGCGCCCCTGCGCGCGTGCTGTCGCAATAACATAATTCAACAAACGGGACAACATGTACACGCGCGCGTTGTCGCGCGCTCGCGCCTAAATCCTTCAAAACCGTAGGTGTCGCAAGGATGTTTAAAGCGAGGTCCTCGAAAACATATAAACATATGATTGTGCAACCAGATCAACAGTTTCAATGCTTTCTGCCACGCGGGCCTCTCGCGCCGCATGTCGAAATCACTCGAACGCCCTTGCGCGTGTGCTGGGAGGGCACGATCCGCATCAAATAACACCATGCGGGCAAACTCTCGCGCGTCGGCGGCGCGCGCACGTCGAACGCCTTCAAGTTATCCAGGCGAAGGACCCAACCATATGCAGTTGTGAATACGGCAACTGTGAGTATCTTTTTCGGGCGCCCACGAACCGCATGAGAGGCGTGCCGAAATGTGGCGGGGTACACGACGCGAAGGAAAACGACTGGTCGAATTACGAGAGACTGAGCGCGGGTGAATCTGAGCGCGAATGCGTCAAAGAGTGAATGAGTATGCGCGCGAGCGAATACATTTACACGAATGCGATCATAGCTACGCCGCGTGTAAACGCTTATGAATGTGAATGGTTCGGGCATGCTTGTCCGTGCGCTCGTGGAACTGAGC